GGAGACGTGTTCTTCCTCATGCGAGGCATTCTGAAGCAAATCCCCACGAGCCGCGCCAACTCAAACCATTTGGAAAAATGTCTGTCTTGAGATGGTCTCAGATCCCACGGGTGGAGGGCTGCGTTTAGAAAACTGTTCCGTTTCTTCCCTTCGAAAACCAGAGGTTGTGGCCTGTGCTTACCGCTGACCAGCAGTGAAGCAGCTCGCACAACTCAAGGAAACACTTAAGGATATCCCAAAGGTTCAGAAAAACGGCCCCGTGAAAGTGGCGCACAGTGAGGGAGAGATGGTGGAGCTTCGTGCCTCCCGGGTCCCCCACTTTCAGGAAGGCTGTTGTGTTCGGTCACCTAGACGTCCTCAGATGTTTGGGAGGACTTTGTATGGAGCGCCATGTAGGCATGATGATTACACCAGCAACCACCAGCTTACCGCGGCTTTCTCTCCTATCCCAGGACTTCCTTTCATCACATGATTGTTAACCAACTGCATCCTGAGACTAGGGGTCCCCCTCCAATTTAAACATCAGGCCAATGGGTTTCTATGGATACAACCATTGTGCCCTTTAGCCACACTTGTTTTAATGTTGTTTATTCACTTTGAGACAGAATCTATGTAGTCCAGGCTCGCCTGGGGCTGGAGATTGCCTTTCTCAACCTCCCTAGCCCGGTAAGTGCAGGACCCTGGGCTTCATACTGATGCCTGTAGGGAGGATGGAGAGGAATAAGGGAAGGGGAGAACACCAGGCCTGAGCCCCTGTCCTGTCGGCCATGTGTCCACCAGATGGCGCTGTGGCCCCGCTGGTGTAGGGAGGCAGGCCAGCGGGAACCTCAGCCAGAAGCAGCTCGGGGGACCCACACTGAAGGCTGTGTTCAGGTACTTATCTCCCCACGCCTTTAGGCCGGCCTGAACTCCCTGGATCCTCCTGCCTCTGGAGGACATGTGCACCACACCTGGTTCCTTAGGAGAGAGTCAAGTCCTCCTAGAGCTTTGGATTCCTGTATGAACTACAGCTGAGGTCGGGTTAGAACACCTAGAAGGTCCCAGGGATCCTCATCCTGCAGCCCCTCCCACACTCCAGACTGGGCCTCCCAGATGGCCCTTCCTGACAGGGCAAGTCCAGGTGCCCGGCCGAGCTGATCTCTGGGTGACAGTCCTCTGGCACCCACCCGACACAGCCTCTGCAAACTGCTTTCTCAAACTGATGGGTGGACTAGGCGCCCCCAGTGGCCAGCTGAGCAGGGTCTGGTCCTGCCTGCGGGGGTTCAACAGGGCGGTCTGAGGGAAAGAGCATGCTAGGTGGGGTTACTATCAGTGACCCTGCCCTCTCCCCGCTTCCTGGCAGAATTGGTTTGCAGTTTTCCCTGGCTGACGCTCAGGAATTTTTGACATAATTGACAAGACTAGCAGAACTAATGGAAGTTTGAGTATATTTGCCAAGTTTAACGCAACTTTCCAGTCCCAACACTTAGGAACCAACTCGTTCTGTTTCTCCTCAGACTTCACTTTTTCTCATTTGCCATGTGCGTGGGAGTTAGAATCACACCAGGTGCTGCCACACGCTGTACGCCTTTTGGGAACGTTTTTCTACATTTAACTATGTATAATACTCACTGCAGTTTGTTTTGATGTAGCTTCCCCAAAGTCTCTCTCAGCTGTGCTTTCTGGTGGCTTTGGTCAGTGCCCAGAGTGCTTCCGGCCTCAAGTGGCTTCCTTTTTCTTGAAATATTGCAGTTTTAAACCCTTCCCCCAGCATACGGTAAGTGGTGTCCGATGTATTAGTGTTGATATGTTTTTATTTAATATTTCTTCAACGACACGGGGAATCCAGGGTTTGTGCCAGCTGGGCAAGCACGCTACCTACTCAGAGTTGAGACTCTTGCCCCCTTGATATTTCTCGTCATGACAATACTCCCCTTGAAGCAACACAGTCTGCACCTGAGCTTAGATACTGGGAAACACACACTGGACTTCTGGCCTGGCCCATCACTGTTTTCCGCAGTCTCGCTTCCGGTGTTTCTCAGGGAAGTACCTTTCTGCAGATGGTCTTGTGACTTATGTCAAAAATCCCTGGGCGTCCAGAGCCTGCGCTGGCCATCTTTTGTAAGCAGGCAGGGCCTCAGTGGGAGGAACTGGGTCACAAAGCCTTCCATTTACAACTTGTCCTGCCTAGCAGAATCCTCAGCAAAGAGACCAGAGAGACTTCATCCAACAACTGAGGGAGCAGATGCAGAGTTCCACAGCCAAACCTTAGGCAGAGGCCAGGGAGTCCTGCAGGGGAGGGAGAGGTCAGGGATACCTGGAGAACACTGCCAAGGAATCAATTGTCTGGGACTCATGGAGTCTCACAGAGATCGGGGAGCCTGTAGGGGGCTGACCTGGGTCCTTGCATGTGTTAATGTTGAGTAGCTTGGCATTCTTGTGGGCTTCCCAACAGTGGGTGCAGGGGTGATTGTTGACTCTTTTGTCTACTTAGGGGACTCATTTCTTCCTACTTGGTTGCCTCATGCAGCCTTGATTTGTATGTGGTCTTATGCCATGTATGGTTGACGCCCCTGGGTGGTCTGCTCTTTTCTGAGGGGAGATGGAGGGAGGGTGGACCTGGGGGGGAGGAGAAATGTGTTTGGGGGGGTGCTGGAGGGAGGGAAAACTGTGGTCAGGATGTAACATGTGAGAGAAGCTTTTTTTTTTAATTCCTAGGAGTCAGCTGTTGAAAAATGCAGCCAGGTTCTGCAAGTGAGGGCTTCCTGCCTGCATGACACTTCCATTGTGTGGTGTCTGAAGTACACACAGCCTTGGCTCTGGCCCTCTGGAACTGACAGCCAGTGTAAGGAGGCTGCTGAATGCAGATTCTAGGTGACAGGTTTCTGAGGGCAAAAAGGAGGATGTTCCAGCCTGGGCAGACTCAAGTTGCACCGAGTTCAACTTCAGGAGAAAACTTAAAGACAACGCAATAAAGGGAGAATGCTTAAGGCAGCCACACTGAGCCACTCTCCTTATTCCTTACTAAATAGGCAGATTATCCTTTTTCTTCAGTGCTGGGGGCTAGCCCAGGGCTTTGTGCCTGCTAAGCATATGCACTAACTGCTATGAAGCTGTCCTCGGCCAAACTTTGTCTCCTCCCGATTGTAGGTGTCTGCTATTTTATTTTATCCTCAATCTCAGAATGGGTCATCTCTGTGAGATGGTCTATTATTTCTGAGCACTTTATATAAACAAGTGATACCAGTTCTGATATTAATGGTAAGGTAGTTTATATGTTTTACTGTGTTCTTACCTCATTGTTGGAGGTTCATTTACTTTTACCACCTACCAAAATGTGACTTCTTGTCCTTTATAACAGGGGCTACTCAAAGGCAGGACAGACAAACAAACAAGCAAACAAAATGTTGAGTAACTCAACAGTAAACACTTTCTGTTTCATTTTGAGTTTTCAGCACTGGAGATAGAACCCAGGGTCTGTTCCAGCCAGGCAAACACTCTGCCACCAACTTATCTGAGCACTCTCCCAGGCTCTTTTCCAACTTTGTTAGGTAGGAAGACAGTAGTCCTCATTCTACAGTTATTCTGTCCCCACAAGAAGGCAGGACATGGGCACTTCTTACACCCACCTGCACCCATAGCGAGCTCTGTAGCAGCCAGAGGTCTCTCTTCCAGTTCAAACATTGATATATAAATCACTGAGCTGCTTCAGTACTCTTTGTGTATTTTGGAAATACTAATCATCAGGGTTTTGGTTGACCTCATAGACGAAGTCCATGGAAGGAGGAAAACTGGTGTAACCTCCAACTTGTGTAGTATTCCTGGAGAGCAGAAGCAGGAATAGTACTGACACCACTGCATCCTCATCCCAAGTTAGCACGTGTTTATACCCATCTCTGAGACTGGGAACAAAGTGAAGAGTAGCTGTAGCTCGTGCACTGAGGTGATGGGCAGGGCCCTGTGCCTACCAGTGTGCTTTCAGAAAAGGGGTAGACTAACCCTTGTAGGCAGACTTTTCTGTCCTGTCAGTCAGTTCCCAAATGTCTGGGGTTTGTTTCCTGAAAACACCAAACATTTCAGGCATGTAAGATCAAAAGGCTATGTTGAAGTGGGTGAGATGGAGAGTCCTGCAGGTGATTTGAAGATGAACGCAGCGTTAGGAAGAGGGAGCGAGGTGGACGCGTCACAGAGAAAGGGGGAAATTGATGGGCACCGGAAGTGAGGGAAGCAGGTGCTTTGAGAAAGCCTAGGATTCACTAAGCCAGTGGTTCTCAACCTATGGGTCACGACCTCTGGGGGTGGAGGAGTCAAACAAGCCTTTCTCGAGGGTTACATTTCAGATATCCTGCATATCAGAAACTACATTATGATTAGTAACAGTAGCAAAGTTATATTTGTGAAGTAGCAATGCAGTAATTTTATGGTTGGAGGTCACTGTAACATGAGTTTTCATCTGCCAAAGTAACTGAACCAGAATTTGTTCTTTCTTTAAAAAAACTAAATGAAGAACAAGTTAGTTAGACGTTCCTCCTTTTGATCATTAGCAAAGTATGTGATATACACAAAGAAGGAGAAATAACTGTCATTTGTAACACCCTGAATGTCTTGTCCTTCAGCTCAGTGGCCATAAAATGCAGTCGAATCAGAAGATGAAGTTGGTTCTCCATAACAGAAGCAGCAAGCCTACCATAGCCTTCTGATGTATAGCTTTCACTCGGCGTTAAGTCAGAGAGCAGCGGTGGACAGGCAGAGGCTGCCATGATGCCTGTCACGTTTGTGAGTGCCTCTCGACCACAGGTAAGGCCGTAGATGAGAAGCCTGTGAGGTTTGGGTAGCATTCTCTTGCTAACTGTGAGAACAGCCGCTCTAAGCCTCAAGTGCTGAGGTTACACGTGTGCACTGTGTCACCCTGCTTTTTATGTATGCCGTCAATCTGAACTCAGGTCCATATGAGTGTGTGGTAAGTGCTTTATCGACTAAGCCATCTCCCAGACCCTTTCCATACATTTTCAGTTGAAGGATAAATCAGTCTGTCAATTTATTACGTATGCATAATACAGACACATTAAGATATGTGTCAAATACATCATTCCTTTCAGAAAGATAGTGCAGATTTAATATTAAGATAAATCCCAATTCTGTGATTAGAACAAGCAATGCACCCACACATTCTGATTCAAAGGGTTGGAAAAAGCATCAAAAGTAAGCCATCGCTGGACAATGGTGGCATATGCCTTTAAGTCCCACCTGAGCAGGTAACTTGGGCTTCTTCCAAGTGGTCACAGGAAAGGCCACCCCACTGCCAGTTTCTGCATTGCCAAAGAGAAGTTTCATTTCCACTACAGGTGCCAGGAAAGAGCCACATATCTGTTGCCTTGCTTTTGGAGTAGATTTTAGAACTTGTCTGGAGTGCAGATCCACATCCAAGCTGTCTACAGACCACATCAGCATTTCTCAGGGACCAGCGTCGGTTACATATCTTCCCTTTCAGCTTCTGAATCTCTACCTCCACAGTCCCAGCACAGCGACTGCCTCCACCTACAAGTCTCAGTTCCAGATCTGACCCATCTGCAGAAGAAGCATAAGCGCAGGCTGAAGGAACCTGGGGAAACACATGGTCCTCCCCTCCTTCCCAGATACCAAGACACTGTAAACTGTGACTTACCTGCCTCTTATTGTTTGCTTGCTTGGTTCTTGGCATCACAGAGGATTGAACCTAGTCCCTTACATAAAGTGGAAAAGGGTTGTGTGCCTGATGCCTCTTTATACTTTTGCTTTAGCTTTGGAGGTGAAGTCTCAGTAAGTAAGCCCAAAATGTGTTTGAATTTGTCATCCCTTGCCCTAGCCTCTCTCCTGAGTGGTTTGGATTACATTAGATTACTTATTTCCTGAGGCTTTAATAAACAAACATAGACTGTGAATTCTAATGTAAATGGTACATAGTTCTAAAGACTAAATATGATAAACGCACACACATACACACACACACACACACACACACACACACACACATACGTGCGCCATTCATCATAGTCCCTTAAAATGCTGACTCTCTGAGCTTCACATAGATTTAGAATTAAAGGTGTGGTAAAAAAAAAAACAGTACTCCTAGTAATATAGAAAATGGAGCCAAGCATCTGTCCTATGAAGAATGTGTAAGCTTCTTCTCAGCTGTGAAGGAATTCCCTACAATGAATTAATTATGTCCACCACTCACAACTTACACTTATTCCTATATCTAATGAATACAGGTTCTTTACGCGTCCATTTCTTTTTAACTTACCAGAACATGTCACACCAGCATCTTCTCTGTGATTACAGTTATGATTTCCCCATTCCTGGTGCTTACACTCCCAAAGAGCTGACTCATCTCCTTTGCAGGACATATCATCAAGCCAAATGGGTCCAGATCCCTCGCTGGCATTAACTCGACCGATGGCAGTGACAGCAGTTGGACATCCCAGTTGCTTACACACCACAGCAGCGTCATGGGTATCCCAGAAATCATCACATACAGTCCCCCATTCTTCTTGGAATTTCACTTCCAATCTTCCTGAACATTTGGATACTCCATCGACCAGTCTCAGGCTCAGATCTGCTCCCTCTATAATAACAACGAACAAGTCAGTGAAAGGGAAATAAGGATAATGTGATTAAAAACAGCTCTAGCTGAGTCAAAGAAAGGGGTAGAGCCATGGATACAGGCAATCACTCTACAGCACCATTCTACTGCTTGAAGAAGTGCACCAGGCAAGGACTTTTTAGGACACAGTGCGCATTTGGGGAGGGTCTCAGAGATTTGTCTAGACTCAGTTTTGTGCCTGTTGTGTCACTACAACTGATGATACAGTTGTTTACTCTGTCTTGTTAAAGTGCATCTGCCTGTGTTTTCCACCTTGTACTCCAGTCTGTGTAAATACTCTGCATCTGCTTTCACTGTCATCCATGTGGTCCTCTCCATTACCCTGCTTGTGCTGTGCACCTGACCCTTTTGTGAGTCCCCGTGGTGGTCTGAATGAGCTGCTCCCCTCAGGGTCAGATGTCTGCACACTTGGTCCCCAGGTAGTGGCACTGTTTGGGAGACTTAGGAGGTGTGGTCTTTCTGGAGGGAAGTCTGGCCCTGGGGGAAGGGTTTGAGGTTTTACAAGCATTGCACCACTCCCAGTTCCCATTCTGTGTGTGCTTGCTCTTTAAGAAGTGACCTCCGAGCTTGCTGCTCTAGCCACCAGCTCTGCTCCTTGTCATGTTCCAGGCCGAGATAGACCCTTAGGACCAAACAAACCATTCCTTCTATAAGTTACCTGGACCATGGTGTTTTACCACAGCAACAGAAGAGTAACTAATAGGGTGCTTCTTAATTAAAGGGCTGAGAAGTGGGGGAGGCTGATCTACTCACTTCCCACAGTCAACACCCCTTAAAGAACCATCCTTAATTCTGCAGACTATCCGGTGATGAGCCCAAACCAGCAGCCTGGGTCCCTGTGTTGAGTATTGTTGTCAGCAGGCAGAAGCAGTGCTTGCTGTGGATAGCCCGAGCCCTTGGGAGGTGCTGCCGTGCTGGCACTTTCATTTTCATGGTGAGTGCTAGCGATTGGACATAATGGTTGGGGACGGATCAGGTCGAGATGGCTAAAAACGATGATGATGGAGGATGATGAGGAGAGAACTTTGTTTTTAAACCAACATCAGAAAGACAAAGAGGGAATACTATTTCAGTCGCGGGTCATAGACTTTTACACAGATACATAAACTTATGTATTTGTGATATTTCTCCATTTTTATATCTATGGTCTGTCTCTCTTATCTACCTACTTACCTAGAAATGACATGAGGGTAGAAATAAAGCAGTCTAAAAGGACAGAGGTACTAATGGAGGGAGAATGACAAGGAAAGGGTAAGGGGTTTGAGGGGGGTATGTGCTCAGCACATAATATTCACATGTACGAAAGCTTTAAAAGTTTTCTACCGGCTTCTTTAGTCCCTCTGCCCCTTCCCTCTTTACCCCTTCCTTCTTCAATCCTCCCCTCTTCACATTTCCACCTCAGCACCCCCTGCCTCTCTTCACCCCATCTTCAACCCCCATCAAGATTTTCTTAAACACTCTCTTATGATGCAGCTAAACTGCATTATTTGTCATTAATCCTGTAACTATTTAATTGCCTATTTATTTATTTTGAACTTTACATGTATGTGTGTATGCCTGAGCATATGGATATACACTACGTATGCACAGTAACCAAGAAGATCGGGGGAAGGGACCAGATCTTGTGGAACTGCAGTGACAGGCAGCTGTGAGTCATCCTATGTGTGCTGAGAACTGAGCCCTAGGCTTCTGCAGAAACAGTAAGGAGTCTCTTAATCAACAAGCAATCTCTTCATCACCAGTCTGACCCTCTACTGTTTCCGTTTCCTGTTTTCAGTTAGTGAATTCACAAATGTTAGAGCTGGGACACCAAATGAGACAGTAGTAAGATGATGGAGGCTGAATTCTCTTCATTATGTTCTCAAGGACTCAGGCTTACAATCCCAGTACCTCCTGTCCGTCACAGACAACAGGAAACCCGGAATTGTCCTTACCTAAGCAGGTCACTCCAACATCCTCAGCATGATCACAGTTATGCTTTCCCCATGCTCCATATTTGCAGTCCCAGAGAGCTGACTCATTTCCATTGCACGTCAGATCATCAAGCCAGATTGGTCCAGAACCAGCTCCAAACTTAGCTGAGCCAGAGAAACTAATGGCACTTCCACATCCGAGTTGTTTGCAAATCACAGTAGCATGATCTTTGCTGAAGTTGTCATCACACACTGTCCCCCACTTTCCCTGGAACTTCACTTCTACTCGTCCTAAACACCGGTTGCCGTGACTGTCCACCAGTCTCATCTCCAAATCGGATCCATCTAGAGAAAAGACCAAGGTTTAAAGGAAAAGTCCTTTCATAAGCAATTAATCATTGGTGGCTTGGAATTTGATGCCCTTCTTAAAAAATAGTGTTTGACTTTTATATACTGCCATTTCCAAATACTGGAGAATTTTGACCTGATAAATCCAATGAACAATAATGCTTTTCTTATACACCTACTTTCCAAGGAAATTGTGTTATAGGTAGAAATGCTCTTTGGTATAGAAAAGATCAGTATGACCTTCTAATCAAGTTGTTGAAAATGAGAAAATGGTCAATGACAAAATGCTTTGATTCCATATTTTAACTCCTCCGAACTAATAGAGTTCTAAGAATGAATAATTGATGCTGAATTTGAAATTGGAAAATAAGAAAAAGCAATGATGAAATTGCTCAAATAAACACAACAGTTTGCAAAACATTATATGTTTAAAATTATGGAAAAATGATTTATTTCAATTTTAGCAATCAAATTTCTCCTCAAGGCATTTACTATCATTTTCAGCAAAAAAGAGGAGGAGGTTTTTTGTTTTTTTTTTAAACAATGTTATATGTTTCTCACGCAATGAGTTTCCATGAAGCATAAAATACATGAAGAAGGGAGACTTTGGTTGAAATTTGGGACACTGGAAAAGTTGCAGTTGACAAAAATGTTTAGAAACACTTTCTTAAACAAGAAATTAAATTTTATGAGCTAGAAGCTCCAACCAGCGTCCCCAACTTAGCCAGAGTTGTTTTCATTATGGGCAATTAATAATAATAATTAGTAAGGATAAGAGCTCACAATTAAAGTATAAATAAGTAATCATTACACGTTTAAACAATACATGCTATCACCATAGCCCACTTCATGGATCTTTGACTTGAGACTCAGTAGCAGGACATAGCATTGATCACCTAAAAAAACTATGAAGCCAAGAAGTGAGTAGCACAGAGGTTGGGGGAGTGGCCTGTCACCAGTTTTCTGTTGGTTAGTGTGCCACCATCTCCCTAGAGGTGAGCTCTGCAGACTAACCAGAAACTAGAGTGAAGGATCTCACACATACAGAGAGCAGATCGCTATGAAACCAGCAGCCCTCAAGCGTCTATTGGTTCCTTTTCTCTTATTAGATTCTAGTTGCTCCTTTAAGCTTCAAACTTTGAAAAACAAGTTTAATTTCACTCTTCATTATGTAAGAAAATAAGAGCAGAAAGTAGTACACTGAAGCTATAGATGAATAGCAACTCTTTACACAGGTAAGAGCCTGAAAAGATTTCTTATGGTTCTGAAATTTGTTTTACCATTTGAAAATTAATAATTAAAAAATGGAGGAGGAGGAAGAGATGCAGATGACTGAGGCAGCATGGGAAGGAAAGATGGGGTCCATGAAGAAACTAACAGTTTTAGCACTTGTAATATTCCAGTGTGCAAACAGCTCTGCAAGTGTCTTATTATGGAGTCATCAGATGCTTAGAAAGATTAAATACTTTGCATGGAATCTCTGCATCAGTGAATGGTTGCGCTAGAATTAGCTGCCCCATTTTTCCGGGGAGATGGACGGAGTCAGTGGAGTCAGGAAGGCGTGTGTGGCACTTGCTGGGACGTAGGTCAGCCTTACCTGAGCAGGTCACTCCAACATCTTGCTCATGGGTGCAGTTGTGCTTTCCCCACCCTTCATGTTTGCAGTCCCAAAGAGCAGATTCATTCCCTGTGCAAGAAACCTTATCCATCCAGATGTCTCCAGAGCCTGCACTGGAGTTCGCCCATCCAAGGGCTTGAATGTAAGTTGGGCATCCCAGCTGCCGGCAAACCACAGACACCTGATTCATGCTCCAGCCGTTCCTGCACACTGTTCCCCACCTCTCGTGGATCTTAACTTCCACTCTCCCACTACAGTTGTTTTCACCACCAGTTAGTCTCAGTTCCTTTTTCATTCCTCCTGCAACAACAATTCAACACATCAAATGATGATTCAAAGAGAATTCAGAGCAGGAGAAGTTTTCAGATTACTGCCATGGGATTTAGAGTCAGAGTTGAGACCCATCCTGACCCCACCGTGGTACAATAGGAGAATGCTACTTCCCAGTGTCCAGGTGGAATTGTTAGTACCGCAGGCTTCAAGTAGACCAATGGCAAAACTGGGGGAGCTAGCAGCACAATAACACGTGGGATTTTAATTGTATGGCCGGGTATCCTTACACCTTCTAAACTGAGATGCACAGTGTGTTACACGATGAACCACATGTGTTTCTTCCTAATCATAAGGTTGATAGTGACCATGGGGGAATGGAAAAACAAGCTGAATGGAATTAGATATCCATTTCATGCATTTATACAACAGGTTACAAAGCAGTTGAAATCTGCTGAAACTAGTTTTTGGATTTTAAACAGAAATCTAGGGAATTGTTTTCCTTTCTCTCTCCCTTGTTTTCTCAGATTACCTCTGATGCATTTTTTTCTGTCATTTTGGCTTAATTTAAGATCCCAGCCTGACTTCGAGCAATCCATTTTTAAATGTTAAAGTCTGGGTTTTGCATTTATTAAAGTGTTTTCAGAATCCCTTTTCCCCAGTAACTTTGTGCTTTTTCCTTCTTCTCTTTCCACGTACTGCTTTCAATCTTTTGTAACATAGGGTTGTTTGTGTGAGAGAAGACCACACTAATAATTTGCTGACTCCTGCTTAGAATATTATTGTGTGCTTTTAATATTTGGTTCTTAACTCTGAGGAGCATGGGTTTTTAGATGTCACTTAGCATACAGGAAATTGTGATTTTTGTTTAACAATTCATGTCAGAGTGGCCTAAGGCCATAAGTCAATTCTGTGACATACTCACCAGGAGAGTTAGTGACAGCAGAGACACTGAGGAGTGAGGCTACAGCCACAATGAAGAAACAGAAACGGACAAATCCTTTACAGCCTAGGAAACGAAGGACAGACGTGAAGCTTAATAATGAGCGATTTTGGAGAAGTTCAGGGTTTGCGGTCTGGTGAAGACCAAACTGTTAAGAAGAAAAACCTCTCCTACCAAACAGATGACACACAGGGCAGATACAGACCCAGACCATGTATGCAGCCTTGGAGTGGGGAATTGTGAGAACACTGGGCGTGGAAGCAAATTTTCAAGGCAGGTCTTAAAGCTGCCTAGCTAAAAGAGGCATCAATGAAACTAGGTATGGAGCACGTTCTCTGTACACTACAGGTCAGGTTTCTGAACTTTCTGTCCTCTACCTTCTCAGCATCAGTGACTCCCACCTCCATCTCCATGTCTCTTTGGTCCACCAGACAATAAGCTTTATGAGAGAACTAATGATATTTCTCATGTTAGTACTATTCCACCAACAGTGCTTGTTAAATAGCATCTCAGCAGTGTCACAGATAGAATACTCTGCATCCCAAACGCCCAAAAAATCAACCTTCTCATCACACACTGCAATTCAACACTCATGCAAAACTGAGGAATGATTTCGGCTGGTCCATGCACATCATGAAGTAGAAGTTTGCACTGAATTGGTTCTCCACACTTTTAATCAGTATCGATTCCTACACTTTGTCTCTCTTGTTTGCATACTCAGGACAGTTCTGCTCACTTCAGATCCTGACTTGAATTTTCACCTCGACAACTTTATAAAATAAATACAAAAACTGCTTCCTTCTTTACAATTTTAGTTTGGGGTCTATGGCTGATTAGAAGCACATCCATAGGACCCAAATGCCTTTTTGTTCCTTGCTCTCCTATGCTAATCACATCATTTTGCTGTCAGAACATCTCTAAACTCTACTTTAGGATAAATATAAATGAGACACATTTACCAGGAGGTCCAGCATCTTCAAGAAGAACCATTCCAAGCAGGCCCATTCCAAAGCTCTTTTGTCTCCTCGTACTATTGTAGAGAAATGTTCTCCGTAGAAAGTGGATAATCACTGATGGAAATAATCATCTTGTTCTTAAAATAATCATCTCGTTCTTAGGAATGGAAAGGCTCCAGAATGAGGGAGGAGCCAAGCCCAAAGGGGAACCCCTTTTTGCCTTCACCCTCCTCCCCCCACCCTTGGGACTTAAAACGACCAAAGGAAAATTTAACACGTTCCATAGATTTACAAAAACTAGAAAGTGTATTTATTCACACTCTTGCTGATGAAATGTTTTAATTAATTGATCGAATAATTCTTACTTATGTTATATGTGTTTGTCTGCTTGTGCATATATATATGAGCCACATGTCTGTGCTTCCTCAGAATCCAGGGGAGTACATTGGAAACCCTGGGCCTGGAGTTATAGGAGCTTGGGAACCACCATGTGAGTGCTGGGAACAGAACTTGGTCCTCTATAGATCAGCAAGTACTGTTAACAGTTAAACCATCTTTCCAGACTCTATTTTTAATTATTGAAGTTTATTTTATTACCTTCATTCAGTGTTGGGCTTCTATCACAGAGCCTTGAAGATACCAGGCAAGTGTCTACTATTGAGCTATTTATCCAGTACTTGAATTGTGTTTTTGACTAATATACTAAACACATACAAAAAATACTAATGGTGACAGAGTAAAACTATGGGAAACACACATACACACACAAAACGTTGTAATTTGTCACTATTTGCACTTTTGACATTATTTCCAGAGGTGAATATGTCTATTGGGTGATCATGTGAGTGGGGTCCTTTGTACTTCCTATCTAATGGATAGAACACATCAATACATTGGCCATGTGAGTGGGGTCCTTTGTACTTCCTATCTAATGGATAGAACACATCAATACATTGGCCATGAGTAGTAATGACTCCATAAAGGAAGAGTCAAGGATTCCTCTGTAACACTCAGAATGGCCTGGGACTCACTACATATCCCTGGCTGAACTTGAACTTGAGGCAATTCTCCTGCCTCAGCTTCTCCAGTACTGGGACTACAGGCACATGCTAACATGCCCAGGTTTACATTCATTAATTTTGTTTAGAAATTTAAATTAGTAGAAGCTGTTGAATTCTACCCCTTTCCCAAAATGTCCCCAATAAAGGACAAGACCAAAGAAGCTGCATGCTTTGCAATCCCTGAAACCATGATGGTTGGCCCTGGAGATCCTGGCCAATAAGGGATCTATCTTAACTTCTCCATTACTGTAAACTTCTGATCCATTGCCTAAATGCTTGCTTTCATCGTAAAATCTTCTAGGAGTGTATTACATCAAAGATGTTAAGAACATGAATGGCAACCATATAAATCTCCATACATACTAAAGCTATAGATAAAGGCCTTGCCAAGACATTTAAATTGGAGTAACCTGTTACATGTTTACTGAGACTAGCCCAGGATGGATCTTTAGAAGATAGATTAAGTAGACGTTTCATATATCATGATAGTTTCTACATAATGGTTGAAATAGATGCATCTCTTCCCATACCGTTTTGAATTCCAGTACAACAAATAAGTCTCTAGAACTCTCCATCTTTTCTTAGGCCTTACCTGTTCTTTACACATTTTCAGCCTGATATCTTATCCCATGAAGCCGGTGACCACATGGAGAACACACTTCTCATAATTGCTCTCCAGAGCACCTCAACTGCTTTTTTAATATACATACTTTTGAACATAAACTACCCCGAAAAGTCATGCATATCTGTGCCCCATTCTGGTGACAATTACAGCTGATTTTTGTTGGCTTATGATTTGGAGCCCCACATCAGTTTAAGTAGGTCCCCTCTTGAAAGTGATACCCTAGACCACAACCTAGCTGGCACCACACTGGTACCAGATGTCCCTATTGGGTGATGACAATTCCTCACGCACCATTACCTTATTTCCTTATGCAAAGACATTGTCCTTGAAAATGCTTTGCCTTCTATGTCAGAAATGACTTTACTCAGACACTAAAGCTGTCATCCATAGACAGATTCTCCTAATATACATGATGAATACAGAATACCCCACCCATCCTTTGATAATAGGATTCCACTACATTTTGTAATCCTATTCATTTTATTTCCTGGTCATAATTCTTATTCTCTGATAAAACATACACTTTGTGTTGCCATGCTTAAAGATGAATCTGATAGAATTTACTAAAATTAATGGATGTTATGGTTGTCCAGGAAGTCTCCTCCTCACATCAGTCAGTGCTGTGGGTTCTTAAAGAAAGAAGCCTATCCTTCAGCCTCATGTTGGCCTACTCTTTAGCTTTCTTTCTTTTTTCTTTTTTTTTCTGTTTTCTGAGACAGGGTTTCTCTGTATTGTTTTGGAGGCTGTCCTGGAACTCACTGTGTAGACCAGGCTGGCCTCAAACTCACAGAGATCTGCCTGCCTCTGCCTCCCGAGTGCTGGGATTGAAGGCGTGTGCCACCACCACCGACTTCTCTTCAGCTTTCTAAGCCTGATCTCCACAGCCATGAACTGACCTTGGTCGAGTACACCACCTCCTTATAATGAGTACATTCTCCACCAAATAATGGCCCCAGATGATGTCCACAAGCAATTTATCCACTTTTCCTGGTTGCCTCCTCTGCTTGTTTACTATGCTGAAGCCATACCCAAGTGTTCACACTGTTCAAATTAGGGTTTCTCACAATTGGCATCCCACCAAGGGACTTGTCCATTTATGTCAATCCAAGAATTCCGGGCAAGTGCGTAGTATTTATTCATATCAGTAGTATTTCCCACAGCCCTGGAAGTTAGCATCATTTTCATAAGCTTTGTTCTGTTGAAAGCACAACTACCTACTAGCACCGGGGGCGATTTCAGATAGTGTTCAAAGGCTGGATAATGCAATACTTTTAATGCAACAAGCACACAACTAGTCCAAATTGTAATGGGTGACATTGATCCTTGCTTCTTTACTAGCAATAGAAATATGGGCTTATGTTACCCAGCGTACCTCAGACTGTGTGTACATGAAGCTGAACAAACACAGGAATAGCTATGGGGAAAGTTCAACAACAAAGATAGCTGTAAACTACAATCTTCCAACAGATTCTCTCAAATTCAGAGGTTTACTGCTGACATAATGGGGTACTTGGTTGAAGAACAGGTCTGAACACTCAATGTATGCCTAGTAAGGCATTTTTCTCATTTGTACCACTGTCAAAGTTGACCTCATATGCCCAAACCAAGATGCCTTGAACACTGGCCAAACCATGTAACAAATATTGTCCATTTCAATTAGTATTTTGATGTTAAGGCATCAAGGGATGACTTTCACTGAACATTTAGTGATGTTTTCTTTTTCTTGACACATCAGTTCTCTGCCTGTAATCACAGGACAGTAAGCAGACACAACAAAATCCCTAGGTAAGCTGATATCCAGACTAGTCATAGCAGTGAGGTCAAGACATTCTACCTCAAGGTGGAGAGTAATTGAGGAAGACACTCTACAGCAGCCTAGGTGTCCACATGCTTATGAACCCATGTACATGTACACCTCCACACACATGTGCCCATGCAATGCAAATATATGGAGAAGTAAAAATAAATAAATAAATTCAATGAAAATGAAGAACGAAATGACCAGAGAAGAGTATCTTCAGCAGAGTGGCAGGGCAGGAGCACTCTGGTATCTCCTAGGTCCACAGAAATCTGCCCTGAATCTAAACAGAGGCATGTTACCACCATAAATACCTCATAAGTTTGGATGCAAGTTTTGATGCTCCTTCATCCAGCAAGATGAATGATTAGGTTGAATCATTCCACAAGAGATGTGGATCTATCTGGAGAATGTCCCTGAACCCATCTTTTCTATAGGGGCTTCCCCATCATTTTTCCTTACTTCTTAGTTGATGTGATACTGCAAATATGGCTACCAGGTGTCAATTACAAATAAAGAATGCATATGAGTCTCACAGCAACTAATATGCAAACCATGATGACAGCTAGAATGTCCCAAGCCAAGGGCCTGCCGTGGTGCTTTGCTTAATGCAGTGGTGGCAGATTGTCTGCTTAGCATATGAGACAGGTTTTCTGTAGATGATGGTTACAGGAGAAGCTAGGCTGTGCAATATGGAATAAATACTCACACATTTCATATTCAAATGTCCTTATATGGCCCCAAAGATCAAGAACATCCAAAAACAAAAAACAAAAATCCACCCAAGATATCCCTAAGAGACCAGAATAAGGTGACAGTGACCAACATTAAAGCATTGAGGATAAATGATCAGCCTGATGATTCAAAACTAACTGCTCATGCAAAGCTCAGTGAACTTCAAGAAATCAGAAGCAACTTAGAAATGTATCAGATAAATTTAATAGCGGCTGATACAATTTTAAAAGTCAAACAGACTTGTGATGCCCGTATCTCAGCTTCTTGAGTGATGGGATTGTTCTCTCCCCAGATCAGTGTTTTCTCTTTTCCTTTTTAGACTCTATCAATTACTGGATTTACAGTCCCTCTAGCTGTCTATCTTTCTGTTCTGTGCAGTCCAGAGAGGATGGCCATGTAGACCTGGTTATCCCACATGGCAGAACATCAGCACTCCTTTATTTCAACATTGTCAGTTCTTATTTCTTCATCATCTTTGAAATGTCTTCATCCTTGTATCTAATTATCTCATGGAAAACACCCCATAGCAATGTCTTTAGCCTTAGTATATTCAATACTAATCTTTATGTCAGGTTATCACTTCAATATTCTAGCATGTTGAATTTAAGTTTAGGCTGTACATTTTCAAGGGCAGCTATTTACATAGAATCCATAAAGTGTGGATATTGACATATATAATATATTCTTATCACAGAAAAATTGTTGGTTATTGTCTGCTTCCTGACAGAGAACTGGCTTTGATTCCCGAACTAGTGACAGTTTTTGCCCGATTCTAGTAACTGGACTTCTGCTTTGTCCATGTGCCCCATGACAGAGTCTTTGTTATTCACCAGTTCCAGGAATTGTTCTACCGTGTGAGATGCTTGAACTTCATTTGCTGTCTTGATTTTCTTTCCATGTCAACGCCTGCTTCAAGATAGGAGAACTTACCTC